AGGTGGACCATCTACAAGATCTTTTATTATCTTGGATGAAAAGACTAAAGAGGATGATGCTTATGACTTCAGCAGAGATTATGTATAACAACTCGTCCTTTTATATGGATTTTCTTAACATTTCAGGCAAACTACTCAAGTGTTAAATATGTGTAATGTGCTACTTCAATTTTGGTATAATGTAAGCTGTATAAATTTTGTGAATATTATGTATACATTAAAGCAACTAAACAATTAAAGTATCCACATTTAACAATAAAAAAAGACTGACTCAGTACAGTGAGGGGGCAGAAGTAGTTATCTGGAAGCAAAGAAATTACTGAAAATGTAGGTTTTATTTATACATCAGGCCATAGCTTAGAAAATTAAAATCCAGCAGCAGTTTTGAACTAGCTGTGCTAGTTATACCAGTTGTATCAGTCCGTCTTGTCAGTTCATACTGTAGTAAGCAAACACTTGGTGAGGCAGATGGAGACATATTTATAGTCTGTCTTGAATGCTGACTACCAGACAGGACAAAGCGTCATCTTTACCCAGACGAAACGTTTTTTTCCTTTGGTTGCTACAGATAGGCACTGACGCCTACCAGTTGTTACTTTCCACACATGCAGTCTTCCAGGATTTCCTGAGAAATACAGTGAAATTTTTTTTTTACTTTATGTTTGAGATCTCTGTATGTCTTCGGATTAGGCTGAATTTGCCTGTTGGATCTGGAATATACCATTTTTCCCAAATATCAGTGTATGAAGCAGTTCTTCCCCATGGCTTAAAGTGTCCATTCCAATGGAGTAACTTGGCAGCCTTTACAAACTGGGGTGAATATCTTTTTCCAGCACTGGAACCTTAGAGTTGAGAGAGAGCCAAATGATTATCAGAGACACAAAAGGAATCCTGTACCAAACTACAGAAGAGTTAAGGGAAACAGACTATATGCTAGTTCCTTAAGACCTTAAACCATTGATGGCAAACCTTTTAGAGCTTTGAATGATAACAAACAGCCCACTGTGGTACAAGGTTTGCCACCACTGGCTTGGGCCATCAGTTATTTGTGCTTACCAAGGTGGCGGACATTCCACATGGGGTCAATGGTGGAGTGCTGTTGATAGAATACAATAAGCAGAGGAGGTGTTGTGATGCTGCCAGCCAGTGTTCTGCTATATAATCCTTCCCTTGGGAAAGATGACAAGTGACAGTAATGACCAACTCCTTTTAGTTAAGACTCTTGGGTGTTTTTGTTTTTGTCTTTTTGAGACAGGGTCTCACTATGCAGTTCAGGCTGGCCTTGAGCTCACTTTGTAGCCCAGGCTGGTCTCGAACTCAACGATCCTCCTGCCTCAGCCTCCCGAGTGCTGGATTACAGGCATGCGCTACCATGCCCAGCTGACTCTTGGGGTTGAAATAAGTTTCATAGCTGGGCGTTAGACACTTACTCTACATTGAGTTGCATCCATTTTTCCAGCTGGTTGGTTATATTTTGTCGTTTCCACTCTGTCAAGTTTGCAACAAAAACTCCAGGATTAAAGGAACAGGTGCTGGCTTTCATGGAAAGCTTACGAATTCTCTCCTTTTTGTAGTCAAGATAGCCAATATAATTGTACTAAAAAACAGGATAAATATGTTTGTTGCTTCAAATAAAAGATTATAACCTGTACAAAATAAGCTAGTTGAGCCAGTCATGATGGCACATGTCTGTAATCCCAGCGCTTGGGCCAGGGCAGGAAGTTTGAACAAGTGAAACCCTTTTCAACAGAAAGGCCTTGAGAATGTAGTTCTGTGTGAAGCTCTGGGTTTAACCCTCAGTACAGGAAAGGGGTGCAGTTAAGACTTTTGAGATCTGTAGCAAAAGGTGACATTGAAGATTTTAAGTAAGTTGGGACCTAGATTTTAACTTATAAAGCAGACATTTAAGGTGAATTTGGTTAATTCTTTTTTTTTTTTTTGAATTTGGTTAATTCTATGGATTATAGGAAAGGCACCTTGAGTTTTGTTTTTGTTTTTTTTTAGACAGGTTTCACTGTAGTTCAGGCTGGTCTTGAACTCTGTTCAGTCCAGGCTGGCTTGGAAATTGTGACCCTCAGGCCTCAGCCTCTTTAAGTGCTAGGATTACAGGTGCGTGCCACTATGCCTGGCTTGAGTTTTGAGATAAAACATTCAGGGGATGTAAGATGCAGCCAAAGAGGAAACTCCCTCAATTTGCCACCTCTTCCTATTAAGCTCTTTTATAGGGCATCTAGTGAGTAATTTACCTGGTTCCCTGCTCCACGGATGACAACTTTAGTAGAGGCTGAATCACAGTCTTCTGAAAATGCAGCTGCATGTCCTGGCTTCAGAGGTGTATGGTACAGGGCAAGAATATCACCTGAAATGGGTAAGATGAGTTCAGGTGATGGCTGAGGTAACACTGGTTGTCTTGAGACTGCCTGTACCTCCCCATTATTTCTCTGCATGGTGACCTTTACAGGAGACCATAAATAAGACAACCATAGCCTGCAATCTAGATAGTGACATTCTTTATTACCTTGTACAATTACATCATCATCCATGTATATGGCCTTCTTTGCATTGGGAACCAGAACTGGCAAATAGAACCTTGCAAAAGTTAACTGGAAAAGAAGCAATGGTATAAGATACAGTGTCTATTTTTTTAGTTACATAGAAGCTACTAGAATGTTCTTGGGACCCTTGCAGAAAATATCCAAAGGACTCTCACAACCATCTAGGCTTAGTCCCCAGGGAACTGTCTGCACTCTACCCACAGTTAGCCAGGTATTCTAATCATTTCCTAATACTCCCAAGCATAAACAAGGATGCATGGAACTCACTGGTTTCATGGATTCCCCCTGGTCAGGATCCTCCTTCACTTTCCCTTCCAAAAGTTTAGTGTCAAAATTCACAATTCTGTACCTGATGTTTTTCAGGGAACCACTACTGAGCCATGACCTAATGGGAAAAACACACCACAGTTCAGTTTTAAAAATTCATGTTTAAAAAAATACATGTATCTTTATGCTTTTCCCAGTATCGGTATAATTTAATTAATGTAAGATATTAAGGGTCCAGATTGGTATTTTAAAACTCCTTCACATGTCTGAGATTTGGTTTCCTCATCTGAAGTGAGGGTATTCCCACTAAAGTCCATGTACCAAAATTCTATAGTAATCATCTTCCAACACTAAAACTACTAGAAAAACTCTGGAATTGAGAATATCCCAACACCGCGTGAACCATTCCTAATACACTGGTGGAAAAAACGAGTCAAAGTACACTCAACAGACCTATCAGCAATTCACCAAGTGACAATTCACTATGATTAAATTTATTTACCAGAATCGGAGGTACTGTCCAAGAAGAGCTACTGTTTCCTGAAGAAGTACTACATGATTTGTCCAGGCAATTCCAAATCACAAGTTTGTGTATACTTAATGTAAAACAGTCATGTTTATTTTCTTGTTTTTTGAGGTAGGGTCTCACTATGTAGTTGAGTATGGCCTTAAATTCAGTAGTCCAAGTTGGCCTCAAACTTGAGGTGATCCTGCCTTACCCTCTGGAATGCTGAGATTACAGGCATGTCCCACCACACCTGGCAATTACAGTCTTATTTTAATTTAGTATTTGTTTTTATACCTTGATACGTTCTAAATCTGAATCTCTTTCATAGACAAAGCCACAAGCACAAAAATGTTTTTACAACTTCGACAAATGTGAATCTCAGTCTAGCTGTTTCTTGGAGTAAACTTTTATTTTCATCCATAAACTCCCTTAAGACTGGGTTTCTATTACAGCAATTAACACAGTTCCATTGTCTTGACCCACCAAATGGCTGGTAACACTGGTGGTACAAATGAGTCTAATCACTTTTATTGGCATTTTTACTAATAAAAATTTTTAAAAAGCTGCTTGATTGGACAGTTAAGCATCCTTGAAGTCACCCGGCAGCAAGACATACTAATTACAGCCCCATCGGCAACTTGTTAAAGTAGTACCATTTACTAAGCAACTAATAATGTGCTGAGTGATACACGTATTTCTTATGTACTATATTTGATACTCCCTAAGTTGAACGCTGTGTATTTGACACAACACTCCCATAATTACAAATGAGAGAATGGGCTCTGAGGTTTCCCCAAACACCCTGAGCTAGAATTTGGATCAGAATCTGTGCTCACAACTTTACCACACTATTTTGCCATTGTGCCCAAGTTCCTTCCCACTCTAGGTCAGAACTAAAGTCTGCCTATAAGATAAGGTACTTGGGACTTAGAAGTCAACATAATGCTTTCTTCATTAAGAAAGGCTTCTTACCAAAAAGTATCAGTATTACTACCAAAGCAGTAATTGTGGAGTTAATAGTATACATAGCATAAGATCATTATATCATTTCTGTTGTCATGGACATGCTTATGATATATTCATGGAGAAGCATGTCATATATGCAGCTTCTATGTGGTATAATCACAATAAATAATCATATATATATATATATGTATGTATTAGGCACACAGATCTCACCGAAGATGGTCTGCAGTATTGTTAAGTGTAACAATGTAGAAAATCACATTGGAGCGAGTGTTGTGCTGAATGCTGTTTATGGCTGCAATAGCCCCCCCAAGCCTGTCTTCAGATGCAGCGATAACCACAGGAATCTCTTCTTGTTTCCCATCTAGTAGTGCAAGGCTGGGAGCATTTGGGACAAAGTTTATAGGCTCAAGTCCCAGAAATCTTGAATCTGAAAGGAATATACACAAAGAAGACACTGTAATATACATACAAATACACAATTATCTTCAGTTTTTGTGGTGGTTTTTTGGTACTGGGAATCAAACTCAGGATCTTGTGCTTGCTAGGCAGGCGCTTATGCTGCTGAGCCATATCCCCAGCCATATCTTCAGCTTTTGATCAGAATCTAAGATGGGAGAGGTAAGGTGAGGACAATGATAGTGATTTACCTTATGCTCTCCCATTAAACTTTGAAGCACACAGCCCAAAAACTTTTCCTCTATGTAACCAAGCTTTTGAAGAAGTGTAAGTATTTAATAAAATAGGCTGTAAGCACTCTGATACACTATTAGTAGAGAAGTAATCTCTCCAGAATATATTGTGGTGATTTGTATCAAGGGCCTTTTACCCAATCATTTTCCCTTGCCACATCACCTAAGGACAAAATCTGAAATATAATCAAGTCATAATTTTAGATTAGTACAGTACGTGTTAGAATGCACAAGGCCTAGTTTTAATCCCTGGCATCACCAAAAAGAAAAAAGTCACATTCCCAGCCTCATTGTTAGAATTTCAATAGAAATTTCTGGATCAGAATATAAGACAAATAGAAAAGAAAAAAGACAATGTGTGGAACTTAACTGCAACTCCAAGTATTATTCTTTCCTTCTTTTTTTTCTTTTCTTTTTTTTTTTTTTCAGTACTAGAGATTGAACTCAAGGCCTTCAGACTGAGCTACACCCCCAGCCCTTTTATATTTTGACACAGGATCTCACTAAGTTGCTAACATCCCCCAACACCAGGCTGGGCTTGAACAATCCATCTTCCTGTCTGCCTCCCAGAGTGTGGGAATGGGATTACAGGTGTATGCCACTACACCCAGCTTTTTTCTTTTTTTTTTAAAGACATGGTCTCACTATATTGCCAAGGCTGGCCTCAAGCTCACAATTCACCTGCTGTGGCCTCCCAAGTAGCTGAAGTTACTGCCTTGTGCCACCACATAGGCTCCTTCCTGCCTTTTACAGTACAATCTGTCCTCTTAATCTGTGAAGCCTATATACGTGAATTCAAGCAACCACAGATCAGAAATACTAAAAAAATTTACTAAACATGTAAAGCCTTGTTTTTCTTGTCATTACTCTCTGAACAATACAATATACAGCAACTACATGGCATTTACAGTGTGTAAGTCAGTGATGGTGAACCTTTTAAATCTTTCAATGATAAGAGCTGGCTATGGCATATAAGCCATAGGTTCACTGCTACTAGTATAAGTAATCTAGAGCTGCTAAAGTATACAGCAGGATGTACATAAATTATATGCAAATACTGTGCCATTTTATATATGGGATATGATATCCCTGGGACAACTGTTTATTGATTCATTTACTTATCACTGAATGCTAAGTACCTGTTATGTTCCACACAGTCTCTAGATACTGGGGTTACCACCATGAATATAATATATAAATTCCTAGCATCATGGAGGACAGTAGCAAATACATATACCTATATGTGTGTTGCATGTAATTCATTTCTG